GGAAAAGAGCTTATCGAGACCTCCAAGGAGTTCGTCAGAATTTTGGTTAGAAGCAACGGACAGACGACCTTGCTAAGGGGAAGGAAAGCATCGCGGCCACAGCACTCGAGACATTCTTCTCACGCCAAGTTTCTTTAGAGAAAAAAACGTTCAGCCCCCGTTTGGCAATCGAAATAGATCCACACACCTCAGGATTTCCACCCATGCGAAAAATTGGGTTATGCAGCTAGTACGAACTTTTACGCTGCGTAGCCCCCCCTTTCCTCCTTTAGTACACCTGCGCCTGGCAACTCCTTGGAATGATTTTGCAATTTTTTATGTACTGCAACAAAAAGCAAACAAATAGGTAGGTAAAGATATTGCCAACATTTTACGCATCACTAAACGATGTAATATGCCAGTAACAATATTTTTTTCATATTTTGATTCACGTAAAAAAGAAACGCTAGAGAAGCAACAACTAACTAGGAAATGTAGTTTGAAGTATGAGGTATAAAAACGCATTGAAAAACAAAGGTAAAGTGGCTTTAAACAACATACCGCTAATGCAATACGCATATGAAGCGCAGGGCTGATACGTGGATCAGTCGGTCTTCTTCTACAAGGCACTTTTGGAGGGACAAACCCATGGAGTGGACCGTAACTCGGCAGTGGTCGGACGCTCATCAGGATCTCGACGCAACAACCCGAATATCAATGCACGAGCTGAAACGAAAAATACCGTAAACTGGAAATGATTGAAACTAAATTGAAATTTTTATCACTTACCGCCAGCGCTCAGATGGACGTCCGGAGGAAGAACCACTTTGGCCACACGAATCTTTGAAAACACACCCGCTGGGGTCTCATCATAAAATGGATATCTACCAAGCAGTAACAGGTAAAGCAATATACCAAGGCTCCACACATCACAAGCTTTACCAGAGAAATTTGGAGCACGATTTACTACCTGAAAATATAGCAAACGTAAAAATTGAAGTAGTAAAAAAACAGTGATTATTTCACCTCTGGTGCAGCAAACGCAGGGGTGCAATATTTGTCGACCATACGATCGTCCGACGGATCATCGCAAACGATGCAATCCAGAACATTTTCAAGACGTATACGATTCTGCTGATCGAATACGAGCTTTCGTGGTTTCAGATTGCGCACAATTATTCCCAATGCATGACAGAACGCAAGAATACGTACAATCTGAAAATATAAAAAAAACCTAGACGAATTCAAATTGCGAATACTGATTGACTCAATGGAATTTACAAAAATGAACTTGTAAAAAAATTCTTGTAGAAGTTCAGTGGGCTTCTCAATGGAACGTTAAACTGCACTTATGCTCAAAGCTAGCCGGTAACCTTAACCGAGCTAATGCGTTGTCGCCCTTTACTTTCACATCACCCTGGAGGGACTTTTACAGGGTTGACGGACTACTTGAACTCGGTCCTTTAAGCCGCCTCAGATCCATCTCTCGTCTGCGCTCTCTCACCTTATCAGCGGCTCATGACCATTGTGATCTCACACATTCAAACTTTTGCCACACTGTAGTTGGCTCACCCACCTCGAAGTCCCTCCCTCCTACAAGGCTTAGTCCTAGGGCTCTCACCTCCTTCCTTGGGATTTGGAGCCGAGCCAGGCGCCGTTCTCTAATGTCTGTGCCCTCCGCCATTCGTGGCAGGACCATGGAAGAAAGTTCAAGTAGTCCGTAAACCCCTTTTACAGAGCTATGGAGACTGAGTATGGAAGATTCCAAGCCGCATCACCTGCGTCTAACATTACATGAGAACGATTGACCAGTGCGCACGACGTACGGCTTACCATTACGCTTTTTTATGGGAAAATTTTTGAAAACGAAACCCTCCTAAAGTCACAACAAATCAAATGCTTTCTGCAGCTCAATTCGGTGTGGAAGTGAGCGCTTTGTACCGGAACTTTACACCTTTCCAAAAAAAGAGTCCATTCTTCAAACAATGACTTTGTGAAGAGGGTTCTTTTAGAAAACAAAACAGGAATCTAAAAACCCACAGTGAAACGACTACCAATTACTCCCCTCCCACCTTATCTGGTTTCTGTGAAGAAATTTTGCCGTCAACACCCGAAAAATAATGAGAATGGTGTGCTCAAAACATTTGACCTCCTGGAGATATAGCAACATCCAAGTAGCGCTGGAGGGAAATATCTTTAAGTGAATGTAAACAAGCAAGGAGATGACGAATCATTCATGAGTTAAACAAATATTACACTACCAATCACCTTTCACACCTTTAACCTCGAAAAATTCACGTTTCAAGTTCTGTTTTGCCTCATTGGTCCGTCCACCCTTGGGAACATGTCCTTGCGATACATTAATAAATAAATAAATAAATAATCAGATTTCACTGACTACGGACAGATTTCACTAGAAATTTTCCCACTACTGTAAAAAAATTATAACTGTAGCAATCAAGAAATGCTACCTGTTTGAATATTGGTTCAACATCAGCTTCCGTCATATGAAAGCTCTTTTTCTGAGCGTAGGCATGTAAGGAACATTCGTGCAATGGAACAAACATTACGACACGTCCACTCATCTCCTCAACCAACTCACATTCTGCTGGCATCACCATATCCCTGAAAACCGTCGATTTAATTGACATTAGATTTGTTAGTATGGATAAAACCAATTTCTGACTTTTCTAGGTAGGAGAAGGAGGGAAAGGGGTTTACGGACTACTTGATTTTTCCTCAATGGTCCTGCCGCGATGGCTAGAGCACAGACGATTAGAGAACGGGTGAATGCCCTAGGACTAAGCCTTGGAGAGGAGAGGGACCCGCGAGAGAGCGCAGAGGCGGTTTAAAGGGAGTTCAAGTAGTCCGTCGACCGGGGAAAGAGTGATGAGTGTAGCTATCCCAAAGTATCAATAAGCATTAAAGATTTTTTATTGTAAGCTTTCAACATATGGTACTCACATAATGCCCCTTTTAACAAGCAAATGGTTAACCTACCCCCGAACTTCCTACGTCTCCCAAGATTGGAATTTCCGCAGCCTGGGTTCACTATTGAACCAGAACGCCCCCCCCCCCGATTACATTAGGGCCCAAATTTTCATAAATAAGCCAAAACATTTATGCATGCTTACCTCAACTCATTGACGTCAGATCCTCTGTAATATTTTTCGGATTCTTCAAGACGAGCGATCACTTGTGAAACAACATGAGCTTCTTGTGATGTTAGAATCTAAAATGATTCATGGAGTGTCAGAATGAAGAAAGAGTGCCATATGCTTCGAGCACGAATCAAGAACAGAACAAAGTATGACTCAGACTCATCGAAACAGACCTGACAATTCACTACTTTGTTCGTGGGAAGGTGCACAGCTCGTGAGTCCTTCCCTGCGCCAACGATCCGATAATCGCCAATTACCGAGTTATTCACCTGAAATTATGCAGACTAACATGCACGTTTTTTAAGCCGACCGGACTGATGTAACATCACTGAATGTATAATTTTTTCTGTTCTCCAGTTACCATCCGGGCACATAATCGCGGGTATTCTACTGAGGTTTGAACTAAGCCTGTAAATGACTTAGCAAGGGATAACTTGAGCTTCTTGAAGCATCGAGAACTAAGGTAAAATGGACGCTTCTGCACTACTAAACCCATTGTTGCCCGCACCTGTGCCATCTCAAAAAAAATTTAAATTGTACTGCTGGAACCATTAAAAGAAGTTATTCTGTGCCTAGGTGACGATTATGGCATTCATTTGCGGAATTTTTAGTTGTTTTTTATTAACTGCTGTTTAACATCACACTGCGTTGCAAAATTCCATAAGAGGCTGAGTTATGGGAAAATTTGTTTTCCTAAAAGTTCTGCAGAAAATTAGCATTCGCTTGAATTTTCACTTCCAAGATTTTGAGTGCAACTGTGCAGAGAAATGGAACTACTAAAACGCTTGAAAGGCTGTCAATAGACTGTACATTTGCAAAAAAAGAGCGGTCACTTTTTTCTCAAAGACTTCTACACGTAGCACTGATAACGATTGTAGCGCTCTGTGTATGATCGTGGTATAAATAAATGCGGTTCATTGAGGGCAGAGGGAACAGTGAAATTGCTGAGACCAGATGTATAATCTAACGCAGAAACATTTCGGAGAGCACGTAGCCGATGTTGAACAATACAATGGACAAAGGAATGAAGGAAAGAATACGCGGCCACGCGCAAAGAAGAGTGTGGATTTTTCAAAATATTTGGGGAAAGGCCAAAGGACGTGAAAGTGAGCACGTCGCGTTAAAAGAACAAAAAAAAACTAACCAAAGGCTCAAATTTTTCGCGCTTCTTTCCGCCGATAAGCAAACGACCACGGCAAGCACTTCCGCAAGAGCTAAGAAATTCGCTTGACGAAAAATCCGAGCTATTCTGGAATTAATCGAATTGTTAAAATAACGCAAAGAAGGCCGACTACTTGATAAAATCTAGAAAGTATATGAAAAAAGTTACCGAAAGTGGTGCGCTGTAAGATTCGTCAGTAAACGACGAGCTACCGTATCGTTGGCGTTTCAGTTCATCTGATGATTCTTGAGATACATCTGACAGAATCGACAGTGACGAAGAGGACCGTTCGCGGGATGACATCTAAACAAAGAAGAGGTGAATGACCCAGCAGACTCAGCGAAATATGCGATGAAATGAATAAAACGAAATCAGTATAAATAAGCAGTTAGCTGAGCGCACATTTTCACGCTATATTCACAAGGTTTACGGACTATTTAAACGTTCTTAAATGGTCCTGAATGACTGAGCACAGCCGGTTACATCGGCGTCTAGTTTGGCTTCAAGTCCCAAGCAGGGTCGGTCCTATCGTTGCTACTTTTCAAAAAGTTTTTACGACCCCCCTCCCTCCCTCATGAAATGTTTCATACGACCCCCTCTTTCAAAACAATTTTTACCCCAAAAAATTACCGTCGAGCGGGGGGTATATACTTACCGTAAAACCGCAAAAATTCCCTACATTTCCCTACAATTTCCATGTATTTTACCCATATTTCAACTGCTCCATTTTCTAGGGGGGGGGTATATACGCGCGCTGAAACGGCAAATTTTCTCCCGCGCCGCTCCCCACTCATCACATGCAACTTCTTACAACCGAAGCAAGTACGACCCCCCTCTACAAACTCATCAAAAATACGACTCCCCGTAGGGTTGGCCCTGGTCCCAAGGGCGTATCGTATCCTCTCCTCATGCCAAGAGAACTATAAAAAATCCTTTAACTTTCTTACTCTCCCCAGCAAAAACCGCCCTAAGGAAGTGAATATTTGTAGTGCATATATATGCGGAAAGTAAAAAAGCTGGGTCTCTGAAAAGTGATAAAGGCGCCATGTTCCTGGGGGGGGGGGGGGGGGAGAGGAGACACCACAACAGAGCCGATGCTAGGTTACACTTGGACTAAGCCCAATAGAGGAGAGGAACGTCAGGGAGAACACATACATTGCTCACATCCTACAACAGAATCCCTTCCCCTGCCTAAGGTTTTAGTCCCAAGCAAGGCAATTGGCTCACTAACTTGAATCCTCCCCCAACGACATGAGCGCCGAGATAAATTGAAACGAACTTTTTGTTTCTCTAGCCTGGGCAAAGGATAGGATAAGGCCCGAGGAGAGGTGAGAGCCCTACGATTAAGTTTTGAAGGGGAGAGGGGGAACTCTGGGGTGGGTGGACCAGTTTTAAAATGCGGCAAAAGTTATGGGTAAGTTGAGGTGAGAACACAGAAGTCGTGAGCCGCTGTTTAGGCTAGAGCGTTGGCGAGAACACCAATAGGCGGTTTAAAGGATCTAGTTCAAGTAGACCCTAAACGATACTCATAAGGGGTAGCATTCCAGAAGGAGCACCGAAGACATTTCGACACGAAGGCACTTGCTACTCTCCGAAACATTGCCTCATTTTGCTAGAATAATCCTGTGATCTCTCAAATGGATCCTTCCAAAGCCAAGCGTTAGCAAAAATTTCATCTTCGGCTCACTCATATTTCTCGATCCGCATCAAACGCCATACAAAAATTAAAAATTCGACGAAAAAACACTAAGACGAACATCATCGAAAAGCCCCCTTACTATAGTATGGCAACTCAATTTCTAAACACTACATATTGAGCTACCAAGCTACCACCTCATAGAAACTTTTATATATTTACTCCTATACTCCTAACAAGTTGCTCATGCTCAAAAAAAGCGAAACCCTGTGGCCGTACGCCCCTACCCTAGTAGGGGAGAAAGGACATCCTTTAAAATTTCCTTTATCTTCCCAACCGAGATTACCCCAGAAAGGGTAACATACGTATGTGCATACAAGTAAACGTGTGGTGAAAGTGAAGAAACTATATTGCTGAAAACAAAAATATTGAGGGATTTTTTGTTCTTCCTAGCCTGAAGAAGGATGGCGTACGATCCCTGGATATTCAGGCTCACACTTACTGAAGTGAGGGTCCAAACATGGGTCAAAATGGAACCATGCTGAGGTCTATTTACGAAATGAAGTAGTGAAACTCACTTCAATCACCGGCAAATTGCTGGCCGCCGCCCGTTTTCGTGATAGAGACGGACGGCTCGTAGATCGCGTCACATTGTTGGTAGTGGAAGAAGTAAGAGGAGAAAGTGGACGGCCCAACATTACTACAGCAAAGTGTCTAAAATTTAGCACATAAAGATTGGGAAAAGATAGCACTGCTTTTAAAGGCGGGGCTTAAGTGATAGCAGCACTAGGCTATTGAGCTCGAGACAAAAGCGGTTTGAAAAAGAAACACCACAGATCGGTTCTGATGATTTCGGAAGGAACAAAACCACAAACCACGACCACTCTGGGGCGTCGCTTCTGATCATACGAAATTCTGCGCGGTTGCGAAATTCCAACTTTCGAACATGGATTTCATCAGCGGCGTGTTTGCCAACTATTTCACAATGCTTCTAGCGCTCGAGGCGCGGTCACAATCGAACGACTAAATGGAATGTGGAAAGAATATCGAGATCAACTCACCAGACGGTAATCAGCAGCGTAACGGATGATCGTACGCGAGGAGAACCCAGATACTATTGCGATGGCAATGAAACGGCCTATAGAAGGCCGTAATTATTGTTTGCCTTCCATCGTTGGGTAGTTCGTCAGGTTATTGTAGTTCAGGGGATAGACCCGATTGAAGAAATGAACGACGGTGTTATGAAGCTGTCAGACGAATCCAAATAGCTTCGTCACACACACTCACGCACACACACAGAGGGTCAAGGCTGTGCGATGGCGGCGAATCTGCTTCGAGATGGCGGCCGCGACGCGACACGCGACGCGTGACGCGACATGGACCTCCTCCGATCGTCGCGTCGCTATTGGCTGGGCGCAGTTTCGTCATCGTGAGTTGTGACGTCGATTAGAATTACGAAACACCTCGGCTCGGTTGGGGCCGATGTCGTCACCCTCGTCAACACCCTCGCTACGGGCCCGAGGAGTCATGGCGTCCCCGTTTCATCACAAAATTCGTCATTTTTCAAGATGTGACCAGCGAATTTCGAAAATCACCTGACTCAGTTCAGCAGTTACCTCCTGCATGTGAAATCCTGGCACGGCCTGTTTCTTGTCAGGGATCGAGCGGTAGAATGGTTTTTCCCTGTTGTTGCAACTCAGTGTTCCAAACTGAAATGTGGTAGCTCATTTTAAAATTTCACGGGTTTTTCCTAACTTCTCCAGCCGCGCCGTGGTTAGTTTGGAGACAGCTACTTCGAGTGGTTCGTTTGGTTTGAACTGACAAGGAA